GAAATTTTTCCAAATTACTTGCATTGTACTCTGTAGTTTGTACTCTGTACATACAGTAGTACCATATCAATTTCCCAGTAGTAGCCGCAACAGTGCGTAGCTGGACTTCTCTAATCGTACCGCACACCGTTGTTGAGCACGAGACAACGGCCTCCGGCATGCAGTCAGTTTTTGCGGTCGTCGCTTTGGTATTGTCAATGCCGCATGTGTTATTCAACGACCAGAATAACAGCGCGCAAACCCTTTTACCGTGCAAACCCTCGGAATGCTCGGCGAAACAATTAAAGAAATGTTGAGCTTCCTTGCATGGGCGGAAAATTATGGAAAGATCTGGAGAAGGCAGATCCACAGCTTTTTTTTATTGCAGCGTATTAGCCTCGGAGTTGTTAAAGGCAATGAAGCTACGGTTTTAGAAACTTTACCGGGAAAAAATAAAATCGTTGATAATAGCGATTTTTGCTGTTACTTTTTCAGTTCTTGGTTGTGCAATGACTGCTATGTCCCGGTGCAAATGTTAATGAAGATCTGCGCAGACGAACAGTGTATTTTCTACCTTCTTAAATAAAATCATGTTACATACTCGTAGTTTGAGAAATAAATGCGGTTCCTTTTCCAAACATACCAGTACTTCACAAACAAGCAAATTTTGGTTGAGCTAAAAAACCATATAAGCACAGATAACACACTCCACAGGGTTAATAATTAAAGTTTCTTAATGATCTTTTGAACATATCGACGGAACACAAGTATGACACGAGCCTCAGCTATCCATTTCAAACAAGAAAAGTCACTGAAATGTATCACAAGATTTTAATGCCAGTGGCATTATGCCACTATCCTGCTATCCATTTCAAACAAGAAAAGTCACTGAATGGTATCATAAATGCCACTATCCTGCATCTGTGCGAGCTTGTCCTATCATGTTTGCTGCACAAAACAATTCTTATGGAGCATTTCCAAATTACGTCATTCAAAAAATGAGTGTTTTAGACACTCCCCTTCCCCATTATCACATTCTGTCATGAATACCCTGTCCTTTCCCTTCTCCATACGCTTGTAACAGCGCAGCCGAAACCCTCCCCCCTGTGCCACATTTAGTCATGAATTTTCGAGACACCCTACCTCAAACCCGGTGACGTAATTTGAAAACACTCCCTTACTATTCCAAAGTTGAACCCCAAATGCTACAGATCCATAGGATAAGAGATCCACATATGTATACGCAACTGTCAAGCCGCTAAATGAACGGTGGCTCAACGTGCAGATATGCTTCCTGGACGATCCATTCGTCAAGGCGGTCGTTAATACGGAACCAGCATTCATAGAGACCAGCATCGTTCCAGGTGACGCTGTCGATCTTCATCTTCGAGTCGCATCGACACTTATCATCTACACCGAAATGGAAGGTCCCATTGAAGCCTGGCCACGCTCTGGCCTTATCGGCTACTTCTGGAATGGATCTGGCCATCAGCAAGTAGCTTCCCCTGCGCCACAGAAAGCGAGTTGTGAGGTATCCGGGCAGGAAACTGAAGCGTACCGCGCAGACCATTTCCGCGGGGTCGCCGTAGCGGACGGTGAGGTTTTTCATGGGCGGCTCGAAGACATCGTGGCGGAAGAGGGTCGCGCTGATCCAGTAGCGCTTCGTTACCACTAACTGTCTTCCTCTGTGGTGCAGGCACTCGTATAAACCCGTGTGGGCGTACGTGAAGTTCTCCAACGCGATGGAAAATGCACCAGTAATCACATCGACCCCGGATATCCACAAGTTCCGCTGCACAACGTTTTTTTCGGTACTGCCTTCATCTGTGCACTTGCAACAGTAATTTATTTCCTCGAACGACTCTTTGATTATTTTGCCGTTTAGAATGTCAACCTGCCATCCGTTGATTGTGAATGTCGGCAAAATCGCGATCTTCGACACCTGTGTGCAATGCCGACAAATAAGCTTGATTGAAGCGACAAGATGATTTATGAAACTGCGAAATACCAAATCGGTGAGTTTGGCCCGCCCTCAAGCTCTGACTGCTTAAAATCGGACTCTGTCCACACAAATCAACTGAAATCACAAACTTCGTTGTAAGAGCCATAAATAATCAAAAGAAAAATATAAGGAAAGACTTAAGTTAACTAACGCAAGACAAAATAAGAAACCTGAACGTATAAGTAACTTAGTAAACCAAAAAACTTTATAAGTTCAATAAAATCTAAAAATTGAAAGAAGATAAGTAAGTTGAGTAAACCTGGAGCTGAGCTTCCGTCACTTTTAGTACGAGTATAAAAAGTTTATTCAGTCAGTCAGAGTTTGAGTGTGGGCCAATCGGTCGGTCCAAGCCCGTCCACTGGAGAATCACTTTTGCTGGCTCATCATGCAAAACTGTATTATGGCGTCAAATTTTTTTATACTTACCTTACTGCCAGAAGAAAGACGATCATGTCAGTTAGTGAAACACGACAAGTCTGCTGCCTTTTAGAGCAAAAACAATTTTATCTCTAAAATTGTTTTTGAGATTTTATCTCTAGAAATGACAATTTTAACTGCAAATGAAGCAACCGCTGCAAAACTGACGGCCGTGGAATTTACAGCTATTGGTCGAGGGTCAATCTAGCACCGCACTCGTTCTTGCATTAAAGCGCACCGGCCGAAGATTTTAATGTCTTGTACAGGGTAGCTCGAATAAGTGGACATGGACGGACTGGGTGGACGGACGGCAGGACAGGCCGCACACTGGCTGGACATGGACGTTGGACAGGACGGACACTGGACGGTCTGGCACCTGGACACTGGACGTGCGTGGACACTTGTTCGTTTTAATGCTTCCAAACTTCAACTAAATTGAGATCGTGACCGACCATCTCATCGCATAAAATCTCGGTCGTGGGAAATGTGGTCGGCCATTTTTTGTCGCGCGGACAATTAGTTTATGGCAGAGCTGGTCCGATAAGTCATCGGAGGCCACCGATATGTCCGATAACTCCGATAATTCCGATGTTTTCATCGGAAAAAGCGGTATCGGAAAAATTCTGTATCGTATCGTAGCGGATCGGAAAATCTCTTAATATCGGGCGGAGCAGCAAAATCTTTAGCGTAGCGGAATTTTCACCCGATAAGCACGAAAAAACGATTATTTTAACATTTTTCGACTCAATTTCAAATAAAAAGTGAGTCAGAAGTTCTGACTCAGAACGTAAATTTTTAGGCTGATGCCTTACTAAAAAGCGCCAAAAAATCGTTGAAACGCACTTTCAGCCAACAGACTACCGGTAATTATTAAAAAATCGTAAATTCGGCTTTGCGAATTTTTACTTAAAAATTTTCATTTTTTATCGGAACATCGGATTTATCGTATCGGAAATTTTGGGCAAAATCGTAGCGGTATCGGAATCGTATCGGACAGTAGAAATATCGGAGCGGTATCGTAGCGGTGACCAAAAATCCATATCGGACCAGCTCTGGTTTATGGACATGACGCCGCTAGACATTTCATCTTGGGACATGTGGTGATCAGACATTAGGTAACACGGACACTTCGCGCTCAGACATATGTCGGCAGGACGCAGTTATTTTAAGTTTGAACTTTTTATTTTTAGCTGTCATATGCTTTCCTGTGACTTCAGTTTTTTTGAATGGGACAAACATAACTCTTGAAATACTGTAATAATTTTTTTAAATTCGGAAACACTGCATTATGATTATTAAGAAGTTATATGCAATCTTGACAGTAAGAATACTTTAACCTATCTGCATCTGTATCTTTCGCGTATTACACTGACGAGATTGTACAGAGGTACATTCTCGTCAGTGTAATAAGCCAAAGTACGCATACCCATGTATGCCATGTGTGGCTAAGACCGCTAAGTATCCAGTTTACCGAAAGCAAAATTAAATAACAGCAGTTTATATGGCATCCATATAAACTGCTTTTATTGTTGTGCTTTTGCTGGCTAAATGGTAAACGTTTTTTTAAGTCTTTCATAACCTTTAACTAACGGCCCTCGTTGCAAAATATTTCACACGTTCCTTGAAATATGAGCGTACTGTCGAGTAACAACTCTCTGTGTAACAAATGCAATAAAAAGAGATGAGAATAGCCAAAACAGGTTTCCGAAGGCGGTGGCAGTAGTCAAAATGTGGGGTTAGGATTCATTCTCAAAAGATGGTGCGAATAGCCTAATGGAGGTGAAAGGTCGGGAGAATAGTCAAAAGGTGGTGCGAGGTAATGGGAATAGCCTATTTGTAAAACAGTTTATAAACTTGGTTCCCCGCTTCGATTCGGTCTTTTAGTGTAAGCCAAAAGCGGTGCACTTTCCTAGTAATAATATTAGGCTTAATAATGATATTAACTGTGTAGCACATAGCTAGGTAGCTTAATCATAATTAGTGAATAACAGTGCATGACCTTCTGTAATGGACTAATGACCAAGAAGACCGTAAAACTTCAACAAAGTTGTTATCTTGTAGTCTAGCAACTGTATCGCATGCGAAACCTGTTAGAGCGTCATTCGTTTAAACATTCATAAAATTGTGAATTAGGTCGGAACTTCCTTTGGCCTTGAATGCAGCAATTCCGTTTCAATCAGTGTCGGTAAACTCTTTTAGTCTTACGGATTACCGGTTTGAAAAATAAGGCCTCCAGCCAAAAAGAGCGTTAATAAAAATGTCAAGCGCGGTAAAGTGATAAGTATGCCGCAAATTTCTTCATAAAAATTTACTGCAGCGGCTCGATCAAGTGGCACCGCAGTGTCTGCGTACGGGAAATCAGCACTTGCAAAGTGTGCACTGCTTGGGCTTGCAAAGCGCATGAGCATGCACACGCTGTATGTGTGCTGTTTTCTCGTACACAGACTCTGTGGTGCCACTTGATCGAGCCGCTACAGTAATAGTTTAATGGAAAACCGTAGACGGACATAAAAATATTGAGAATTAGCGGAGCTAATTCCTGTCAATGCAGCCATTCAACATCATAGGCTCCTAGCGTCAAAATACTGAAACGGGTCGGAAGTGTCCAGAAATATACAAATGCTGCTGTGTAGATACAAGTGTCCGCGCACGTCCAGTGTCCAGGTGCCAGGCCGTCCAGTGTCCGTCCTGTCCAACGTCCTCGTTTACGTCCAGCCAGTGTCCGGCCTGTCCTGCCGTCCGTCCACCCATGTCCACTTATTAGAACTACCCTCTTGTACATGCCTGCTTGCTTTTCGTGTTGTTACAGTGAATGAGGAGTGTGCCGCCTTCGGGCGCTCGAATGATCTCCGTCTCCGGCGGCCATTCCTTTATCGGATATCTCGGCAGCGAAGGACCGCGGCCATAGCCGTGCAGATGCATGGTGCCGTGACCGTTACGGTGTTTGGCTTCGTTCAAGATTTGGTTCACTACAACAGAAAACAGATAGATTCCAGTACGCCCGTGCGCATTGATTGGATTGCTCCAACCCAATCAGAACCGTACTTATTTGTAATGAAGTCAGTAATTGGTTGAATTCAACCAGTTACATTTGAGAATTTACATATAAGTTCCATTCAATTCAGGCTCGGGTCGCATTGTCCGCCGTCCAGTGGGTCTCATGCATAATGGAGCTTAAACGAGGAATACCTTCTTTACGCCTTTTCGTATAGGAACCGAAAAATACTCGGTAAATAGAATGAACTCTAACTAATCCACTTTTCGGGTGCTGCCAGCTCGTCCAGCTCAACTGGCTGCGGAAGGCTCTTGATACCTCATTGGGCGCATGTAGCTATATATGATTTTCTCTCACCCACCTACGTCCCACGGCGGGGTACACGCAGTGAGCAAGCGTACCGCAATCTGTCTATTATGATTAAGTAAAAAAAGAATAAGCACAGTAGCATGTCGATCAAGAGCTGATGAGTAACCACTTCTCCTTTAATAACGACTTGAACGTTGAAATGTTGACGAATTTGAAAATCAAAACTGAATTTATAATTATTAATCGTATCACTCTCTTTCTATTTTTTTTCATTATTTTGAAATGTCAAGAATACAGCTTTGGACGAAATGGTCGCATACTCATTATCTCCACATTCAGTACGTATGCAGAGCAGTACACTGTACGACTGAGTTCAAAATATCCGTTTCGTACAGGTGCACCCCACCGCCTGCGTACAGAATGCTGGGTATGGGGCTATGCGACCATTTACAAGCTTGTCGGCAAATTGAGCATGTAAAGGAACAGGTAAAGCGATATTAGCGCGAAGTTACCGCTTGAATGATGGCCACTGCACTACGTTTACTGCAATGCGTAACTGCGCTTCGCAGTTAGATTGCCCGTTACTGCACCGACCGTTTTCCAGCCACATTCCGCCAGGCAGTTACAATTATTCTCATTAAAATATCTGGCGCGTACCAAGCCACCATCCAGCCAAAAGCATGTTACGTGTTTAAACAGTGTGGCGTGGCGCGCCGTAGTACGGATTTACGCGCAACCCGTAAATTTGTAATGTTCTCTGTTCTGACGAATGCTCAATTTGTCGACAGTGTGCATGAAGTCCAATGGCTGCAGCATCGGGCGTGAATTTCAGTTGAGCGCCGAACGCACAAAAGTTACGCTAGTCGCTTTATTTATATCCGCGAATTCACAGACAGTCAGCCACGAAATCATATAAAATCAAGAGGAGAATTTCTTTTGACTAAACAACGCAAGTGTGCTGTTTTATTGCGATGTGAGAGTTCACCTCGTTTGGCCCGACCGGCGCGTGGAATTGAGTATTGCTAATTGCTATATTCCCGGCACATTATTTTGGAGTTGATTGCATAAGAAGCGGAAATTATGATTTAACAAAATTATAATTAATAACAAATGAATAAATGCTTGTAACAGAGATTTCGGCAAAGAAAATGTGTTAAAGTTTTTAGAGACTGACAGTGACGACTAGCTGACTTCTTCAAAAAACTGACAATCCTGAAAAAACACAAGAAAAGAATACCGTTTAAATCAGTAAGAACAGTGATCCCATTAACAGCAAACTGGTGCTTCATATGTATTTCCGCCCATGCAAACACATGTTATGTCACCCGGAGTTTGCGTGGGTTACCGTACCCTTTAAATCAGCATTTTTTTGGCGGATAAAAACAAATTTTGTAACGGATCATATTTTGCCGCATTCAAGCGTAACTTGTACGGTTACAAATTTTGTTCAGTTCGAACAAATTTTTTTCTAGCTGTCATCTGCATATCGGCAGCTAATTTTTATTTGTCGAGTATTTCAAAGCTAATTACTTAAAACTTTGCTTGTCAAAATTGTTTGGAAGCATTGAAGTACTGAATGATGAAGTGCCACTTAGGGGTTATTCTTTTGGAATGTTTTACATTCCAAACGTTATTGATCCAGTAAAACAAAATCGGCATTACGAAAACAGCAACAGCAATTAGCATAATTATCAATTATTACGAAAGTCGGCATTTGACAACAGACTAAAGTGAAATCGATTTTCTAGTTGGTAAATACAGCAATTTTATAGCTCCTCGAGAAATTGCATGTTTGCTCACTGCATTCGACGGAAACAACTGCCAGTTTCTGAGTATCAACAACCATCCACTCCCGTCTTGCTTCATGGCATTAAAAAATGCAATGATGCGACATTAGGCAATAACGGAGCGCTGCACATAGTTACACGGATAATGGATTCGCAAACGCTGCTTCTCAAAGCAAAGAAATAAATATTTGTAATAAGATATGGTTGCAGCTCTCAAGTGCCCAGAACTTGTTGTACACATTTACTTGAATGACTCACTGACAGAGTTGGATGCCGTTAATTACAGTATCCTAAATAATTACAGTAGTCTTGTGTATATTTGCTGCACCCTGCACCCTAATTGTAATAATTATTATTAAAAGGCCGTAAAATTATTAGTCAAATCGGATTTAATGGCGCGGTGCGGTATGCAGAATGCATTCAACTGAAAAGTTAAGTTTTGACAGTACTGTATAGTAACCGGTGACAAGTTCAGCCGCCAGCATTGACAAAGCGCATGGAATTCACAGCCGTTGCGGCGCGGCTGTGCGAAATCCTGATAAAAGGCTTTTCTTCGCATCAGTATAATGAAGTACGGGCGCGTCTGCAGTAAGCGTTACATTGTTATCTAAACCCCTCGACAAGTCGAAAGATATCGGTAATATTGTGCGCAACGTTTTTTAAAGGCAAATAATTTATTTATTAATAGCTGCTGATTCTAAGCAGTAGAAACTAGATACGGACAAAAAACCCACAGTAACAGCTGTCTGTGCTAACAATTGTAAGTTCATTTACCTGTAGCAGTAGGCACAGACTGTGCCTACTGCTACAGGTAAATAAAGGAAGTACGCAGTATTATCGTTGCGTTTCTCACTAGCATGCTAGCAAGTACAGCGCCTAGGAGCAATGGTCATGATCGTACTTATAATCTCATGTACAAGCTTGTATAAATTAATAATCACTATCACATACTCTATTCTTGGCAATCTACTGTTAAGCGCAACAACGCGAGAATACCGTGACTGTGGTTTCCACTTTCCAGTACACGATTCGATATTGGACAAGTGTTCAGAATGCAAAAATGCCAACGCTCAAGCTCTGACTCTGACTCAGACTCTGACCGCTCAAACTCTGACTCTGACTGAATAACCTAAGAATAACTTAAGAAACCCAAGAAACCTAAGAAACCTAAGAAAACTAAGAAACCTAAAAGACCTAAGAAAACTAAGAAACCTAAGAAACCTAAGAAAACTAAGAAACCTAAGATACCTAAGAAACCTTCAGAGTCAGAGTCAGACTTTGAGCGGTCAGAGTCAGACTATTAAGAAATTTAAGAAATTTTCAGAGACAGAGTCAGACTTTGAGCGGTCAGAGTCAGACTTTGAGTAGTCAGAGTCAGAGTTTGAGTGGTCAGAATCGGAGTCAGAGTTGGAGTCTAGGCCATGCAAAAACACGATCGCTTACAGATTTTATAGCCAATTATTAGTATAAAACACTTCGCTACCTGATGATAATAATAAAAGCCTAATCTTCAATGTTATACAGTGACATACAGAGTACTCCACATTTAAAATCTAAGCATTGAGAAAAAACCAAAATCTCTATCCCCCCGCCGGTAAAACCATAAAGTTCTTAACAGCAGTAGCATTTCCCTTAATGACAGCCAAACTGAAACGCTGTTTGACAAAACCACTACAACGCCCTTCTCCAGTTGATTCGCAAATTTTTCGGCCCATAAAATGTACCAGTTCACTTAAAGCTGGGCCGAAAACGCCTAAAGTTTCAGTCACTAAGAGATACAAAATGTGCCGATTTTCCTGTGGAGAGTATTTCCGACGATTTGCATTTTCTGTCAGATGAGCCACACTTCCTGCTTTCTCGGAACTGTTTTGTACATTCATGTTGTGCCAATTTCATTGGCTATTAAATCAAGAAAATGTTTCGTAGATTATTAACAGGCCCGTAGCGAGGTCAGAAGGATGGGGTGTGCGCAAATCGGCTGCGCCAGTTGCGCCCTTTTTAAGTTCGGTCTGCGCCCACTGCGCCCGTATATTTAAGAGTCTGCGCCCCTTGCGCCCCGCATTTCCCTTGGACTTCGCTACGGCACTGCTCCCGTTGCACAGCCGACAGTACAGGTCAAAGTCTACCGTGTGCAAGATTCCGAAATTTACAAAACATTTTATACAAATTTAACGCGGCACCGCCCTTGCGCCACGGGCGCACTCGTTTCGGCGCCCTTAAAAAATCCCTTGAATTTTGTGCCCGCGCGCCCGTGCGCCAGATTCGGGCGCAAAATAAATTCAGAAGTTAGCCGAGGAGGAGGGGTGCGTGCGCTCGTGCGCACCCCCCTCGCTACGGCCCTGCGTAGATAGCAGTATTAGCAACGGTGTCAATTAAAAACGTGCAAAAGTTTATTGTGTCCCAGCTCCCAGACTTCTGAAATTCTGGTAGAAATTTTTTTCCGTACAACATATGTAATTTAATTTTTGAGCTGTTTTAGCTAGAAAAGGGTAAATGTCTGCAATAAGAATAAAGTTTTCGGCATGGTGCACGCGCTGGACGAGCTGTACAGTCTGTTTACTTCGTGACTTTTCAAAAAAATGCAATTTTTTATCTTAATCAGACTTAATGAATTATGCTTCTGTATTTTGGTTATTGTTTGCTGCGACAAGACAGAATGTCGGTTTAATCGAATAAGTACCTAAGTTAGTGTCCGTGCACAAAGGGCATGCCAAAAGTAACTTTCCCTAATTTGTACCTTGCAAAGGTAGAACGCTGAGTACGACGACAGTAGAAATGCTGACGAAAAGCCTTACCGTGTGTTACTCCAACAGATTTAGACACGAAGCATGCGACTATAGCTACTGCTACGGGAAAAGCTGCCTAAGTTGTCGTTTCCCACGTCTGATCCTCAATAATTTTTATTAAACAATGCAGAAATGGCTGGTCTTATCTTCAAGCGATCGAACGAGCCAGTAAAATCAACCACGAACCAGGACTGAGCATGCGCAACAGCTTTCCACATCAATGAGCTCGACTAGTATTTTACCAACAAATGTCGTACGTCCCTGCGCTATCAATTTCCGGCACATTTTGCCCCAACAGACTACGAAATTTATCCTGCAAAACTGTCAACTCACGTCGGTCCACAGGGCTGATGTCATTTCTTTGACTGGGGCACGGGGTGCTCCACGGGACGAGGGACAACATCACGACCGCCACAGCAGCAGCCACGCAAAAACTATCCATAATCGAGGATTCCACGGGAATAACAATAAAAGATAAAACAATAAAAAAAACAAAACACTGATGTCTAACTGTACAGTAGAACAAATACGGAAAACTCAAAACTTCGCTCGGCTGAAATTCGAAACTGTCGGTGATACACGAAATTTTTTAGGGCGGAGGACGTAGAAAAATGTCCATGAATTCTCTGCCCCCCCCCCCCCAACCCGCCTAGTTTCCCTACCGGTTGTGATTGCCAAGCTCGGACTTGGACTACTAAAACTTGGACTTGGACCACACTTGGACGTCTTAATTTGGACTTCCTAACTTGGACTTCTAGATTGGGCTTTTTAACTTAGACATCCTAACTTGGATTTTGTCTTCGTAACTTGGACTTGGACTTCCCAACTTGGATTTGGACGTTTTCATTTGGGATTACTTAGGTTACGAAAACATTTTTAGGCTCTTAAGCTTTTCTTGGGCTTCTTATGTTCAAATTTCTTAGTTTTCTTAATATTCTTTCTTAGGTAACCTAAAAAAAGCCTTAGGTTTTCTAAGGCTACCAAAAAAACCTATGAAACTGGGAAGGAAAAGAGGTCAAAACACCTAACCTAAGAACCTAGAACCAAAAACAAAATTAATAGATAAAAAAAGAATCTAAGAAACCCAAATGCATAACTAAGAAATCCAAGGAGCCAAGATACCTAAGAACCTAAGCAACAAAATTCCATAACCTAAGTAATCCAATTGAAAATTCCAAGTCCCCGTTGGGGGGCCCGCACGGAACCTTGGATTTGGGTTCGGTTTGCATTATTCAAACTTGGACTTGGCTTACTCAAAACTTGGACGTGGATTCCTTAATTTGGATTACATAAGTTGGATTGTTTAACTTGGATTACCTAACTTGGATCACTTTGATTTCCTAAATTGTACTACTTACATTGGTGTTTGGATACTGTTTTCTTGTGCTTATTCTCATACTCTCAGGTTATTCTTCTCATACCCTCAGGTTATTCTTGGGTTTCTTATCACTACTAGGTTTCTCAGGTTTCATAGGTTTCTTAAGTTTCTTAGGTTTTCTTAGGTTTTCTTAGGTTTTCTTAGGTTTTCTTAGGTTTTCTTAGGTTTCTTTAGGTTTCTAATTTGATAGGTCCTAGTTGAAAAGTCCAAGTTGAAACGTCAAAGTCGAAGTCTAGAAGTCAAGTCCAAGTTAGGAAGACAAAGTCAAAGGGGCCCAATTCTAAGTTAGGAAGTCCAAGTGTGGTCCAAGTTCAAGTTTTACTAGTCCATGTCCAAGTCCGAGCTTGAGCGCGGGCCTTGCTGAGGTGAAACCCAATCCCACTAATTTGCATGCACGGCGGTCGCATTAAGTACACGTACGACGAAGCTATCACGCATCTATAGGCAATGATTCAGGCAAAAAGAAAACGCACCAAAAATTAGTATACAGTACAGAGTAAATCAATCAGCCTAGTGCATAATATAAGGCTGAGGCTATTTTGCCGCACACTGCGGCTCAGCAGCCATAGACTATATGACCGCAGTGCCAGCGGCAAGTTAGCTGGTTAACTATTTTGCCGCACACAGTAGCCATAGGTTATATCATTCTACAAATTTGTAATTAGGCTGATGTTTTCTTACGGATCTTAGCAATTTTTTGCAGCGATATCGCTCTTTGGCTAGCAGTTCTTGGAGCAGGCTACTAATTTGAATAACCTTAGAATAACATCTAGGAATAACATAAGAAGACCCTAAGAAACAAAAAAATAATAGAATTACCTAAGAAAAACTGCAGAATCGCCTAAGCGTAAGTTTAAGAATAACATAACTACAACTTAAGGAAAACCTAAGAAACCTAAGAAATCCATCAAATATACTGCGGTAAAATAGCGAACCAGCTGAAAACCCGCAGTGTGCGGCAAAATAGCCAACTAGCTAACTGGCCGCAGATACTGCGGCAAAATAGCCACTCCGATAATTTAACACAGCCACTGCACAGTACGTGTACTGATTGAGTAAGCGAAAAAAGGTACTGTGTTGTAGTAATTAGCGCCTCCAGAATAGGCAGAATTAGATGATAATCCGCTGTATATGATAATGATAATCCGCAGTGATAGTATTAAAAATCCACAGTGATCATATTAGTCCGCAGTGTTAACAGAAATCCCAGTTATAACATTAATCCGGAGTGATAATAATAATCCATAATGATAATCCGTTGTGATGATAGGGTAGCAGTGACAGCATTTCTTTCTTCGTGCTGATATAACGAGCGAGAAATTTATGGGAGTTGGCCCGCAACTTCCGGTTGGAGAGTTAATGGTGAAATAGTAACTGTCTGCTCGATTATTAGTTACTACGTGCTAACTTGCACTACCGCTCCAGATCCCATACGATTGCAGTAACTGTAGGGCCGCACTACGGCCGGCTGTTAGCTGTTTTTTCAGTTAAAACAGCATTATGCGTAAATCAGCGTAAATGCACCATTTTTCAGAATTTGGATTTTAGTTCTTCGAGGTTTCTAAAAAAAACCGGCTACAGCAACTAAACTTTGAACAACTGGTCGCTCCCATTTACGGAGAAGTAACCGAGTCAGCCGTGTTCTTTGTCCTTTTTCGACCGAAGCGTAGCGAAGGTCTTCTATGTTCAGCGATTATGGAAAATATGGTGTCCGTCCGTCGGTCACCGCCACAAAATGCACATTTGTAATTCCCATTGGCTTGCAAACAAGCGGGCTGCCGTGTACAGCCCACTTGAATTGAACGTCTGTACATACAGTCTAGCACACTCACATTCAGTCCCGTAGCAATTAGTACTGTAAACCCAACGTCTGCACTCTGCAGTTGCAGTCTGCTTTAGGATGTCGAACTTTGAATTTTTAAATTCAAATCCTACAGAATACGGTTCCTGAGTTCTTTTTGCTTGCTGTCGAATCGTGATGTTTTGGAATATGGTCTGTGGTTTGCTGTGATTATTCAGGAATTCCTGCCATGATCAGTTTGTATTTGATAATGTTGAGGAACCTGAAGTTCCAGCCGACAAGCCACAAGCGGCACTTATAATACGGGATCGCGTTCATTTTGGGGTGTTGCTGCTTGGTAGCAACCTCCTATTGCAATAAGTATCTACCAAACTCCACGACCAAGAAAGCAAGTATTTTGAAACGGTGAGTCAGTCCTTTTTTAAGTAAATTTTTCTAGTAATAATTCTTTCATCCTGCGGAAATTTCTCCCATACGCTTGCGCTACTTTGTTTATGGTTTGAAAGATGGTTTAACATCACAAAAATCCTACAAATGCAATTTTCAATTTTATTTGGGTGGAAACTTAAGCGTCCGTACGAATTTCGTTATCCAGCCATTTAGGGGTGTCCGGCATATACGACATTATTGCCGGAATGAATTTAGTGCTGTTCGGCATGGGGGACATTATTGCCGGAACGAATGTGCCGGCAAAAGTGTCCCCCCTGTCCCCCCGGACAGTTTTGCCGTGCCCCCCCTGCACACCATCTCCTAAACGGTAACCCTTTGGTCAGAATGGTGATCTAGGGGACCTACAACGGAAAGCTAATTTTCAGGTCGATCGGTGACCTTTAAAAAACTGCCACCAGCGTTACCACAGCGTTACCAGTCCAAAACAGCTAAGAGACATCAGTCACCGAAGGGAAATTACTGCCGAAATGAACTTTCAGGTTTCCGGCATGGAAATATTATTACCGGAACGAAATCATTGGTGTCTGGCATGGGGGACATTATTGCCGGAAAAAAATTATTGGTGTCCGGCATGGGGGACGTTATTGCCTGAATGAATTTAGTGGTTTCCGACAAGGGGGACATTATTGACGGAATAAATTTAATGGTGCCCGGCATGGGGGATATTATTGACGGAATGAATTTAATGGTGCCGGCATGGGGAACATTATTGACGGAATGAATTTAATGGTGCCCGGCATGGGGGACATTATTGACGGAATGAATTTAGTGGTGTCCGGCATGGGGGACATTATTGACGGAATAAATATAATGGTGCCCGGCATGGGGAACCTTATCGACGGAATGAATTTAGTGGTGTCCGGCATGGGGAACATTATTGACGGAATGAATTTGATGGTGTCCGGCATGGGGAACAGTATTGACGGAATGAATTTATTGGTGCCCGGCATGGAGGACATTATTGCCGGAATGAATTTAGTAGTGTCCGGCATGGCGGACATTATTGCCGGAACGAATTTAGTGGTGTTCGGCATTGGGGACCTTATTGACGGAATGAATTTAGTGGTGCCCGGCATGGGGGACATTATTGACGGAATGAATTTAGTGGTGCCCGGCATGGGGGACATTATTGACGGAATGAATCTAATGTTGCCCGGCATGGGGGACATTATTGACGGAATGAATTTATTGGTGCCCGGCATAGGGGACATTATTGACGGAATGAATTTAGTGGTGTCCGGCATGGGGGACATTATTGACGGAATAAATATAATGGTGCCCGGCATGGGGAACCTTATCGACGGAATGAATTTAGTGGTGTCCGGCATGGGGAACATTATTGACGGAATGAATTTGATGGTGTCCGGCATGGGGAACAGTATTGACGGAATGAATTTATTGGTGCCCGGCATGGAGGACATTATTGCCGGAATGAATTTAGTAGTGTCCGGCATGGCGGACATTATTGCCGGAACGAATTTAGTGGTGTCCGGCATGGGGGACATTATTGACGGAATAAATATAATGGTGCCCGGCATGGGGAACCTTATCGACGGAATGAATTTAGTGGTGTCCGGCATGGGGAACATTATTGACGGAATGAATTTGATGGTGTCCGGCATGGGGAACAGTATTGACGGAATGAATTTATTGGTGCCCGGCATGGAGGACATTATTGCCGGAATGAATTTAGTAGTGTCCGGCATGGCGGACATTATTGCCGGAACGAATTTAGTGGTGTTCGGCATTGGGGACCTTATTGACGGAATGAATTTAGTGGTGCCCGGCATGGGGGACATTATTGCCGGAACGAATTTAGTGGTGTTCGGCATTGGGGACCTTATTGACGGAATGAATTTAGTGGTGTCCGGAATGGGGAACAGTATTGACGGAATGAATTTATTGGTGCCCGGCATAGG